AAAACAAACAAATTTTATTAGTAAGATAATATAGAAGCATACATATATAGTATATTTATATATAATGTAGAAAAACCAATATAATATTCATATCATGTAGAAGACAAAAACAAATTTTTTTAACAAAAAGTTTTTCCAAAAAGTCAAATTTATGATTTCACTATCATCAAACAAAGGATAAATATCTGGTTCGCCCGTCATTCTTGACGGGATAGCTACTAGTTATTTATAATTGTATATGTGTTATAAATTACATATAAATAAATAAATACTTTCTTCGTCCATCATAAAACAATTTTCGGAAGTTAAATTTGTATTATGAATTATTCGAATAAAAACAGCCGTTAACAACATTTAAAAATATAAAATGTTTCTTCATTATTCCACTAGGAAATTTTATTAAATAGGAATAATACTAATAATATATGATATTTTCGATATTTATGAATATATTATTTTAATCGAATCTCGAATAATTCGATCAAATAATAGATAAAAAATTATTCGACGAATAATAAATTTCTTTATTCGAATTCGAACCGAATCGAATAATAAATAATTCGTCTTATGTATACTCATTAGACTGTCTTTGAATTGGCGATTTAAAAATAAATTACAGTGAAATATTTGAGGATTTGACATCTAATCCCAACAGTTCTTAAAAATAGGCAGAAGAGGATTAAGTATTTTAGTGCCGAGAACTGTGGAAGAGATAAAAGGCATAAATATATCTTCTATAAGTCACACAGTTTTAAATAGACGATCTCTACAACTCACATGCTTACTTATAACCTACTGGCATTGAATACGAAAAGAGAGGAAGGCTGACAAAGAAACTAAATTAAGAGGGAGAAACCCTAAACCATCTTCCTTAGTCGGAAATTGTGCAATGGTCCTGTTAAACTCGGAAAAATGAATGCCTAAGATACCTCCAGGAAGTTTTTAATTTTAAGTCTAGTATGGAAAAATCAAAAAGGTCCTAAAAAGATGTGAAATTTTAGGAAGGATAATTTTTATCATATCCATTTTAAATAAATATATTTCGAAAGTAGGATATGTACGCGGTTAAAACCATCATTGGCAGTGTTGTTAAACGGCTCGTTTTGAACCGAGTTTTAAAAACGGCTAACTCAATATTTTAGCCAGAAAAATATTGCCTAAACCTCGAGATTTCGATAATATATCTCTAGAACTCTTTGTTCCTACTATGAGAAAATCTTCAGGCTTGAGTAATATTTTTCTGAATGAAATATTGAGTTAGCCGTTTAACAACACTAATCATTGGAATGTTTTGCAAGCTGTTACCACTGGTAGATATTAAGTTTGATCAATTTTATCCTGATCTTTATTTCGAAATTGAGAATTATCTTCTTAGTCCTTTATTTCATTTTTCTGTCTTAAGAAACTCTGAAGTTACTGCAAAACATTTCTAAGATATTTTATTTTGAAAATACAAAATTTATTTTAACATGTAAAATTACAAAAATCTTCACTTTTAAACCTAATCATGTCAATACAATCACAAATAATATATTTTACAATATAAAATATAAATATGAAAATGAATTATAAAAATAAAAATAAAATAATCTTTACACATAAGAAAGCGCCACTCACAGTGACTCTCACAATTACGCCAATGGATACGTAATATACTAAATTTAAAAGCAAATGTAAAAATACGAATCATTGTATAATCCATGTTGAAAATAACTGGTGATTAGAACAGTAAGATTATTAATATATTTATTAATCTAACTTTTTTTAAAAAATAAGGGACCATATCGCATTCAGAGGCTGTGTCAAGGTATTCATATAAAAATCCAGAGGCCAAGAAAGCCAACCCAGGACCAATGAAACTCTAAAAGTAATTTGAGACAAGTTGGAACGCTTAGTCTTTGCTCTATTTATTATATGATATGTCCATTACAGTAAAAATTAATCAATGGAATATCAAGAGAGGTTCATATTCTCAGACACGTAGAAACAATCAATGTTAAGGATGGAATAATCATTTTTAGTCAATCTGGATATTGACTAAGAAAATGACCGGAGTGGTGTGATTATAGATAAATACCTAATATAAAAGAGCAAAGCGCTTAAAAACCCTTTGAGAGGAATACCGTGATGACCTGCCTTATTCTATAAGAGCGATTATTTACTTTTAATGTTAGAAGCAAATCTATTTGATAATTATTATTAAATATTTATTTAAAATACTATTAGTAAAGTACAGTTTATTTAATATCATCATTTCTAATTAATAGGGAAATATAATTTTACTAAATTATTTTCCATGATGAGGATTTATTTTCTGGAGGTTTTTTCCCAGATGTTTATTTCTGGGGAATTTTTACTATAAATTTTTTCCTATTACTTTTAAATTTATACACGCTAGTGACTACATTATAGATTATAGGTAGTAAAAATTTGTTGATCACCAACTAATGTTTATATATTATTCTTAGCTAAATTGTTATGACTGAAAGATTATTTAAGATTTTTTTGGGATGTCACAAATAATAGTTCATTTTAAGATAAATAAATATTGTGGCTAGGGTGGGAATTTTTTGGGATGAAGAGGTAGGGGTAGATTATTAAAGGGGGTTTGTTTCTAATAGGTTTTTTGTCATGTAAACCCTGCATGGAAAGTAAAATACCATACACATAAAATTAGTCGCACCAGGGGAGACATTTTGACAAATGTAGAGGTAAAAGACCAAAATTCCTGTGAATCTTTATAGAATTGAGATATTTTGGCATATAATTAATCAAATAATATATAGTTTTAATGAATGCCGTTTTAGTGATAGGCGTGCAAAATAAGAATCTTGATAATAGTTTTCAAAACAGATATATGGGGTCAAATCCCTATTAAAACATCATGCCAGTGAGACTGCAATATTGCTAGTCTACCTGTGCTAGGATGAATTTAGGATGGGATCAATTTTTTATGAAAAAAACCCTTTGTATAATATTAGGACAGGATAAACGCGTATTAAGATGATTTGGCATGAGATAGGGTTAAAATATATTTATATTTAAAAAAAAAAACATTTGGTCGTTGTTTAATACATTGATATTGTGTTTAGAGCTATAAACTAACATAAAATCACTAGTACTTTTAAGAGGGGGGGGGAGTACAGGTGCTCAAGTCCCCTTAGAATATTAAATAATTTCTCACTAATCAAAAATTGAAACAATAAAATATGAATCAAGTATTTTTTTTTATCTAATAAAGTTAGTTGTGTAATTACCAAATCTTTAGCAATGTAAGCTAATTTTTAGCCAGCTAAAAGAAATCGAAACTAAGTTTTTGTCCGAAAAATATCACTTTAGCTTCTGAGATTTTTATAAAATTATAGCAACTCATATTTTAAAGCATAGGCGTAGCCAGGTGGGGTGCAAGAGGAAATTCCCCCCCCCTTCAGAAATTTATCACTTTTTGTAAATATCATTTTTAGCTAATAAAAAATATCCCCCTTAGTCCTCCCCCCACTCCCTGACCCTCAAATATGTATGCATATATCTTAAATAATAATTTAAAAGAAAGAATGTAAAAGTTGATATTTTTTTATAAAACTATTCATCATAATTTATAAATTTTTAAGAAAATAAATTTATAAATATATAAAATGAACCAAATATGTTTTTTAATAAATGGAATATAAGCCAAAGAAAGTCTTAAGACAGAAGTGAAATGTATTATAATTATTAATATAGATTCATAAAATTACTAAATTATATAATATATCAAATATAATTTTTTATAAAGTGAGTAATTTTAATTTATTTATCTTAATAAAAGTAAAATATAATTATAAAACTATTGATAAAATTAAATCATAAATTAAAAAAATATTAAAGCACAATATAAACAGTGGAATATTATATGTCGTAGATTATATCTAATTATCAAATGACAATCAAGTAATTTTTACCAATATAGATTATATATTTTACAGAAAACTGTAAAATATTGATAAGGACATCAGAAAATATCTTTTAAAGACATTGTAAGATGAATAATATGAAGATTAAATTTAAATATCATTTTAACTTAAATAAATAGATGGCGTTAAATAATTGAATGCATATTGTTGGCATTGATTAGTAAAATTTGTTAGATTGTTAACTGTAATATATTCTCTAACTGTCAAATATGTCTGTAAAAGTGGAATTTTACTTAGTATTTTATAATTAATTCTATATAATAGAGTAAAATCAATTATATATCTACTTACTTTTTATAAATAAATTTCTTATAATTGTTTGGAATAAATTATTACCATGCTTTTATATTAAGGTATATACAATACAAGTAATTTATATAAACTAATAAAATATATTTCATATTTGTTCCGTAAAAATATTTTATGACTATATATAGACTAAAGTAACCCGGCCGAAGCTCGGGGAAAAGCGGGCCGAAGGCCCGCCCAAAAGGGGGTATGGGGGCGAAGCCTCCAGTAATTTTTTAATTCCACCCCCCTTATGAAAATCCTGGCTACGCCTATGAATTTTAAAGAAATAAATTAAAACCCCTTAACGTTAACACATTTTTTCCGGCACTCGCATGATGATTGAGTGTAATTAGCTGAAAATTTAGCCATTACCAAAAATACTAATAAGTTAGGTAATGTAGTAAAGTTTTTCATATGAAAATTATTAAATTTTAAAATAATAAGTCTTTGTTTTTCCCTATATTAAATATTTTGACTAAATATAGTAAATAGAATTTTATTGAATATATTGATTTAAATCGTTGAATTTTTTTGAAAAAATCGGGGGGGGGGGGGGGATGAATTAAATCGCCATTTAAATCAAATTATTTATTGGCCAACCCTCATTATAACTGATCCTTTAAATAAATGGTAATTAATTTAAATCGATTTTAAAAATTTCTAGGCATCTTAGGAAATAAATGAAAATACTTTAAAGTTTGATTACTAATTTGCTTTTTTTTGACGATGATTGACCAAAACAATCTGCTAAAGTTTTCGCTATTAACAAACATTACCACATGGTATAATGACTTTTTAAATGGATAAAATTTTACTATTCATATTTGATTATCTCTTAAATCTTATATTCGTTACAATAGGTAATATTATTATGATAATAATAATTTTAAATATATTCAAATCAGCCCAGCTTCCATGGGTCTTATTGAAATATTTCGTAACTCCTTATAAAAGAGGCTTCTTTTGTAATGATCAATCCCTAATGTATCCTTATAAAAACTCAACTGTTACAAATAATATGTTAACTGCAATAAATATGGCAATCCCAGTTATAACAGTAAAATTTATTTTGTTCATAATTATTTTGATTGTTTTATGAATCTATTATCACTTGTATTTAAGGATGGGAGCACAGCTAGAGATCTGCATCAGGCTTAAATATTATTAAGTTTGGCCTAAAAAAGCCTGCTTCAAAATTATTTTTTTTGTCATATCCCAAACCATAATTATTTTCAAAAATTAGGTTCACCCATGACCAAGGTAAATTCTGATTCCAGGACGGGATTGGGCTGGGCCTTGCAGATCACTTGGTATAGCTAAAAAAATTTTAGTTGACAATATACCTTCAAACAAGTGTAACTTTGCTATGGCCAAACTATCTTGGGAGAAATTAGCTATACACTTTTTAAATATTTGCATTATTCTTATATTTTATACAGTTTAGAAATATCCTTTTCCCTTGTAAGCACTATGATCTATCCTGCTATCTTTTAATAAAAATCTTTAAAAATATTTACTTTAATTTTTTCTCTACCATTTTTAAGATATGTTTTCAAAATATCAATTCAATAGACAGTACAATTATTAACTTCTTGCAATAGTATACATAAAGTTTATTATACCATGTGTAAATCCAATGTAAAAAAATATTTACATTTTTTCATACATGTAAACTTCATTTTTGATGATAATTTGGATTTATCATTGAAGTAGAGATAAATAACTGTTCCACCACCAGTGTTGAAGAACCGTAAAATATATAATGTCTATGAAAACATTTTTTCAGATGTATGGATAACATGATTAATTTTAGTCTTTTGTCTTTGAAATAAGTTATTACTTGGGTCTAAATTTGTTTAAGTAACAAATTCCTCAAAGATATAAGCCATTTTTATATTCTAACCTTTCATTTATTGAACTTTGTAGTATAATTTTTTATGTAATGGCATGGACTTTTAACTAAATAATGATTGTATAATGCAAAATGTTGAAATTAACCAAAGTTTAAAATATTGGTGAGTTGTTGTAAAAGCAAAAGACAAGATTACAATAAGAATCAAATTAATTTCATAAAATATAAAGTAGATATCTGAAATAAAAATTTTTTTATTATTTGTCAAATTATTTCATTAAAAAAATTTAATTTTTATTCCAAATTTACAAAAAATAAACTAATTAAATTTTGTTCCTTCTTTGATTCATGAATAGGTAAAATTTTTGTTTTGATTTGATGTCTAGACAAAAATTTGCTTTCATTTTTTTTCTAAATTGATAAGAACTCATCATTAATTTTCTAATTCCATAAAAATAATCACAGAAATTACTTCTTTTATTTAAAAATGTGTGTAATTGTAAAATTAAAAGTTATTCCATATTCCTGATTATGGATAATTTAAAATTCTTTCTTACTTTCTTTCTTTCTTTCTATTTTGTACTGCCCAGCCAGGGATTAAAAATTTTAGGGCCGGCATGGCCATGACATATAAAAAAAAAAATTTTGGGGCCCAGCCTGGCCTCTTGAAATTTTGATACTATATGTCTAGACCTTTGCTCCTTCTATGAGCAAAATTTTCAGGGTTGCATAATATTTTTCTGGATAAAAAACTAAGTTAGCTGTTAGCCGTTTTTAAAAATCGGCTCAAAACGAGCTGTTTAACAACACTACTACATATTTTATTTTTTTAAATTCTAAACAGATATTTAGTATATTACAAATTGATACTATAAAAAATTTGTGTAAATAATATTTTGAGAATATACTATATTAATTGTATTTATAAAAAAAAATTAAGCTGATATTTTTAATTAATAAAAAATATAACATATATTATAATAATGTATTTAATCCTTTGCATATTTATTCCATGGCAGGAAAACTATAATTTCATTATGTAAATAGATACTATGAGTGTTAGCTAGTGTTAACTTTCACCAAACATTATATTTATCATAACTATATATAATCATTATAACCATACCTAATTGACCAATATAATAATTCATGTTGTATAAATTTTTTAAAAGAATACGGCCCGGCTCGGGTATTTAAAAAAATAAAATTTCAGCCCGGGCTTAGGGTCCGGCCTGCAGATCTCTGCTTTCTTTCTTCTTTCTTTCTCATTCTTATTACAATTTTCCTTAGCAATACAAGCTTCTTGTAAATAATCAATACAAATTTTGAACAATAACTATTTTTTTATTATTGCATTATGTTATACAAAATTTTTGGCAATGATTGAGCAACCAAATATATTGCCATATTAGAATGACAAATATTTTTTTTTATATATTGCCAGATCCTAATAGTGGAATTGAAACTTTCTGGAGCCCTGCAAACATTTTTCTCAAAGAAGGAAGCGGAATCCACAAAATTATCATTTTTCAGGTGTGCCTTCAAAACTCTCTGCATATTTTTTGTTGGGGTCGGAGTCAATCAATCTTCTACAAGTAATGAATAAATATTGTAAAACTTTTTTCTCCCATTTTTTGTAGACAACTTTAACTTTAATTTGAATGCTTAGTTGTTTGTGAATGTATATGTAATAATAAGGGGGGGGGGGAGTGGCTCTTAGATTTTATAATTTAAATTTAATCGAGTTAAGATATTTTTAGAGAAGTATCTGGTAGAACCTCCACAGCCCCTAAAATATTTTTAAAAATTGATAATAAAATTAAAACACAATTAAAATGTTTGCCTATCCCCTACCTGTATCTCATTCAAATATTTTTATATTCCTCTAGGCGGACCATAAATATGTTTTTAAAAAAAAAAAAATCTCGGACCAGACCGGGCCTAAAATTTTGACCTACGTGAAGAATTGTATTTGTCTAGCCAGGACTCAGAACTAGGGTGGTTTTCAAACCTAATTTCTTTCTTTTTTAAAAAAAAAATTGTTCCCAAGTTCTAACTGGGGGCTAAATGGATCTACGGCTGATGTGCCGTTTACGCGGTCCTTAAAAATAACCCACTATTATAGCTAGGCCTCGTTTATAGCGAGCCCGAAATACCGCTATCGTTCAGGTGATCCGCACCATAAAACGGAAGTCCTATTTAATCATAAAATAGTCGTCGTAATCACGTGTCCTCTTTTCCATTTTCACGTGATATTCGACTCTCGAAAAAAATTTGCGCATTTATTTATTTATTTGGGGAATGGAATTTGTTTGCTTAACCTGCCATTCAATTGAAAAAAAAATTTAATTCCTTTTATATATTTTTATTTTTTATTGTATTATTCCTTTCTTTCTTTCTTTTTATTTAATTATTAACGATATTTTATTTATAAAAAAAAGAGTCATTTTAAATTTAAAAAATGTTAATTATTTGAGAAACAAACTAACGATAATAATTAATGGACGCGACTAAAACTTTATGTAAGATAGTATCGGTCTTGTATAGGCTAAAAAAGATGGTGGTCAACGACGCATTTCTAACGATGATATATTGTTCTATCTACATCATTTCAAAGCGGGATACGACCGGTTTTCCCCTACATTAAATTGTTTATCGGACAAATTACGCGAAATGTTGGTCCGGGCCTGAGTTTTTTTAAAAATGTTTTTTTTTAAAGCTAATAAATTAGGTAAATTTATCTGCTCGTTTTCCTTCATACAAAAAAAAAATTATTACGGACTAGGCCTGATCATTTATGCAAAATATATCTCGCTGGGGTGAGCCTGGCTCATAACCCCCCTGTGGAAAATTTTCACCGGCAGGTTCGGGCCAAACCGCGCTCCTCTGTCAGTCATCACCCATATCAGCTGATTAATTTTTTGTTAGGGGAATTGGAGAGAAGATGCACTCCGATTGCTCACGATATCTCTATCTATACTTTTTTTTTGTATTTAACTCAATAAATATCTCGTCGAATAATTTTTCGACGATTTGTTCAAATTTTTTTTTAAGGGCAAGTTTTATTATTTTTAACCGAGATCTGCAAGAGTACCCGACCGAGCCCGGATTTGCTATTTATGCCCCTGCCCGGTATTTTCATTAAAAATTCTCCAGCGCTGCGCGTTTTTATCTTCCATTATTTTACAGCTGTGACCGAAATGTTATAATTTCGTTATTTCGAACAAATATGGCGGTGTTTTTTTCCCATCATATGATTATCCAATTGATTAATACCATGTAATTTTAATTAATCGTCTCGGCCCATGTTTTGTAAAAAAAAAATCATATTTTTTCGAACATTTTTACGGGCCTGACACGTGAACCAACCTCAGCTGAGTATGACGCACATTTAAGTCGTCTGTATTTAATGTCATTAGTGGCAGTTGGACGCCATGAAACATTTCGTCTAAATCCCTTTCAATGGCTGACATCAAAGTATTTACCACTTTTTTTTAAAATACATTTTAATGGAATAGATCGCCAGTTCTTGAGTTAGTATTAATATAATTGGAAAAAAAGAAGAAAGAAGGAAAGAAAGAAAACCAGACTAAATTGATAGGAAAAATTTTTTTTTTTTAATTTTAAAGGAAAGGAAGACAAAATTACGAATTATTTTATTAATATTTTTATTTTGTGAAGGACATTTTTTTTTTCTATCTTTTTTACACTCTCCTTTTTTAAAAAAAAAATAAAATAAGGATTAAGATAAGAATTCTAATCATGGTTTTATTTAAATTGGCACAAATTTTATTTATTTATCTAGAATTGAGTTTATCAGCTGTAATTTTAGAGGCCATAAAATTGCTATTTTTTAAAAAAAATTAGACCAATGACATATAATAATAATTCCTAGACCGACGACGCGTTCATTGATAAAGCATTTGAAAAGCGTCGTTGAATGCGAATCAGCTGGACCCGCCATTTTGGTAAACCCATATGGTTATCATTCTCTCATTGTCAAAAACTACTTACTATTTTATTATCCTAATTTTTATGATCCAGATCGATGTTATTCGAAAATTCGTTATTTTTCGTGAGAAGGGGTAACCAAAATGGCGTCCTCAGCTGTTTTTCATTGGATGTACATAGGACACGCTAACATTTTGATCATTCGCCCTAAAGATATTTCCCCTCTGCTGAATATTATATACGTTAGCGTTCAATATGTTATTTTAACAACTACTTTACTTACCATTTTTGTGAGAGCCTTTTTTTTAGATTTAAAAATCGAATTTTACCGCAAATGGATTCCAGCACATTAGAATTACCTTATCTTCCGGTAAAAAAATTCAAAATTTTTTAAATTTTTAAAAAACGCGCCAAAAATTGATTTTAAGTTGGAAAAAAAAACACATTGACGGGTGAATTCTTCGGTGAGAAAGATAGAAGGGTAGATATATTCTTGCGTATCCAAAATTAGATTTTTAAAATATAATGAAAGAATAATCATTTTATAATTTGTATTTTTTACATTGCGATGATTTCCTATTTATAAAATACCAGGTGACCCTTCTTTAAAGCTCGACAATTTTTATTTTGGAAAAAAAAATGATTTAGAACATTATAATTAGTGTTGCGTAATCGGCTAATTTTAGCCGACTAAAAACGGCTTAGCCGAGATTTTAGGTGGAAAAATCGGCTAAGCCTAATTAGGTATAGCCTAAAAATCGGCTAAGCCTAATTAGGCTAAGCCTAAAAATCGGCTAAACCTAATTAGGCTAAGCCTAAAAATCGGCTAAGCCTAAAAATTGGCTAAGCCTAAAAATTGGCTAAGCGTAAAAATGGGCTAAGCCTAAAAATTGGTTAAGCCTAAAAATTGGTTAAAATAAATTATTCAAAATTCTGCATCGATGCTTAGCATTAATTATTATTTATTTATTTTAGTAAAATAATTTATTTTATTTATATTTAATATAAATATTTTATTATTATCAACAAATAAACATGATATGATTTAATATTTTTTATTTATATTATTATATTTTGAAATGAAAATAAATTTATTTATTTGATGTTTTTTTAATAAAAAAAAATAATATGCTGCTATATTGTAAAAATATAATATTCTTTAAATATAATTTATTAGTGATTTTCACAATCTTCTTTGTAAATACATCTTTTATTGAGGAATTATATTGTAAATTTTATTAGATAAATACACAATCTTTTAGGTGAAATCTTTTATCATTTTTTTAAAATTATCTATTTATTATTAAATGAGGTGGATTTTATGAAACTTTTTTGATGTTATTTTATATGATCTTTTTAAGGATAATATTTTAATGTGACAATTGTCATAATCGTTCTTTTATAAGTTTTTTGAATTTTTTTGAAGAAAGTATGTTAAAATAAGTATTAATAACATGTGTAAATACAAATTTAGTGAAGATGTACCAATGAAAAGTGACAATTGTCATAATGGTTAATTTTAAAGTTTTTTGAATTTTTTTGACGAAAATTTGTTAAAATAATTATTAATAACATGTGTAAATATAAATTTAGTGAAGATGTACCATAGAAAAGTGACAATTGTCATAATCGTTATTTTTAAAGTTTTTCGAATTTTTTTGACGAAAATATGTTAAAATAAGAATTAATAACATGTGTAAATATAAATTTAGTGAAGATGTACCAATGAAAAGTGACAATTGTCATAATAGTTAATTTTAAAGTTTTTTGAATTTTTTTGACGAAAATTTGTTAAAATAAGTATTAATAACATGTCTAAATATAAATTTAGTGAAGATGTACCATAGAAAAGTGACAATTGTCATAATCGTTATTTTTAAAGTTTTTCGAATTTTTTTGACGAAAATATGTTAAAATAAGAATTAATAACATGTGTAAATATAAATTTAGTGAAGATGTACCAATGAAAAGTGACAATTGTCATAATAGTTAATTTTAAAGTTTTTTGAATTTTTTTGACGAAAATTTGTTAAAATAAGTATTAATAACATGTGTAAATATAAATTTAGTGAAGATGTACCATAGAAAAGTGACAATTGTCATAATCGTTATTTTTAAATTTTTTTGAATTTTTTTGACGAAAATATGTTAAAATAAGTATTAATAACATGTGTAAATATAAATTTAGTGAAGATGTACCAATGAAAAGTGACAATTGTCATAATCGCTATTTTTAAAGTTTTTGAATTTTTTTGACGAAAATATGTTAAAATAAGTATTAATAACATGTGTAAATATAAATTTTGTGAAGATGTACCAATGAAAAGTGAAAATTGTTATAATCGCTATTTTTAAAGTTTTATAAATTTAGTGAAGATAGTGACATTTGTCATAATCGTTAATTTTAAAGTTTTTTGATTTTTTTTGAAGAAAATATGTTAAAATAAGTATTAATAACATGTGTAAATATAAATTTAGTGAAGATGTACCAATGAAAAGTGACATTTGTCATAATTGTTATTTTTAAAGTTTTTTGAATTTTTTTGAAGAAAATATGTTAAAATAAATATTAAAAACCTGTTTAAATAAAAATTTAGTGAAGATGTACTATAGAAAAGTGACAATTGTCATAATCGTTATCTTTAAAGTTTTTTGAATTTTTTTGACGAAAATATGTTAAAATATTAATAACGTGTGTAAATATAAATTTAGTGATGATGTACCAATGAAAAGTGACATTTGTCATAATTGTTATTTTTAAAGTTTTTTGAATTTTTTTGAAGAAAATATGTTAAAATAAATATTAAAAACATGTTTAAATAAAAATTTAGTGAAGATGTACTATAGAAAAGTGACAATTGTCATAATCGTTATCTTTAAAGTTTTTTGAATTTTTTTGACGAAAATATGTTAAAATAAGTATTAATAACATGTGTAAATATAAATTTAATGAAGATGTACCAATGAAAAGTGACATTTGTCATAATTGTTATTTTTAAAGTTTTTTGAATTTTATTGACAAAGATATTTTAAAATAAGTATTGATAACATGTTTAAATAAAAATTTAGTGAAGATGTACTCTAGATAAGCGACAATTGTCATAATCGTTATTTTTAAAGTTTTTTGATTTTTTTTGACGAAAATAGTTAACTTGCATCGATATTGATTTTAAAATAGAAAAAAAAGTTTACCCAAATTTTAAACAAGATTGTCTGATGAAAATTGGTAAAAAAAATAATAATTTCTAAATTAGGATTAGATATTATGATATAAATTTTGCATATTAATTTCTGACCCGATGAACAAATGTAATAAAATGCCAATTTGCTCCTGTTTTTGGGGAAGAATCTATTATTACCTTATGTGTTTCTATGGCATATACTCAGGCAATTTTAATTTTACAATCTATATTTTTACCCATTTACATCAAAGAAATTTTAAAAATAACGATTATGACAATTGTCACTTTTCTATAGTACATCTTCACTAAATTTTTATTTACACATGTTATTATTTCGTCAACAAAAATCAAAAAATTTAAAAAATAATGATTATGAAAATTGTCGCTTATCTAGAGTACATCTTCACTAAATTTATATTTACACATGTTATTAATTTAATACTTATTTTAACATATTTTCGTCAAAAAAATTCAAAAAACTTTAAAAATAACGATTATGACAATTGTCACTTTTCATTGTCTTCACTAAATTTATATTTACACATGTTATTAATACTTATTTTAACATATTTTTGTCAAAAAACTTTAAAAATAACCATTATGACAATGTCAATTTTCTATGGTACATCTTCACTAAATTTTATTTAAACATGTTATCAATACTTATTTTAACATATTTTCTTCAAAAAAATTCAAAAAACTTATAAAATAACGATTATGACAATTGTCACTTTTCTATGGTACATCTTCACTAAATTTATATTTACACATGTTATTAATACTTATTTTAACAAATTTTCTTCAAAAAAATTCCAAAAACTTATAAAATAACGATTATGATAATTGTCACTTTTCTATGATACATCTTCACTAAATTTTTATTTAAACATGTTTTTACTACTTATTTTAACCTATTTTCTTCAAAAAAATTCAAAAAACTTATAAAATAACGATTATGACAATTGTCACATTAAAATATTATCCTTAAAAAGATCATATAAAATCATCAAAAAAGTTTCATAAAATCCACCTCATTTAATAAAAAATAGATAATTTTAAAATGATAAAAAAATTATAAAAGATTTCACCTAAAAGATTGTTTATTTATCTAATAAAATTTACAATATAATTCCTCAATAAAAGATGTATTTATAAAGAAGATTGTAAAAATCACTAATAAATTATATTAAAAAGAATATTACAATTTTACAATATAGCAGCATATTATTTTTTTTATTAAAATAACATCAAATAAATAAATTTATTTTCATTTCAAAATATAATAATATAAATAAAAAATATTAAATCATATCATGTTTATTTGTTGATAATAATAAAATATTTACATTAAATATAAATAAAATAAATTATTTTACTAAAATAAATAAATAATAATTAATACTAAGCATCGATGCAGAATTTTGACTAATTTAATTTTAGCAGATATTTATAGGCTTAGCCAATTTTTAGGCTTAACCTAATTAGGCTTAGCCGATTTTTAGTTTTAGCCGATTTTTAGGCTTACTTAATTAGGCTTAGCCGATTATTAGGCTTAGCCTAATAGGCTTAGCCGATTTTTAGGCTTAGCCTAATAGGCTTAGCCGATTTTTAGGCTTAGCCTTATTAGGCTTAGGCGTAGTTTTTAGCCGATTACGCAACACTAATTATAATACTCAGCCGACGATTTGTCATTTCGCTTTATCATCCTAAGAAATCCTCCCCCCCCCTCCCCGTCTCCCATTTATCTTATATATAAAACAAAGAATATCCATTTTAATTTCTACGAAGATATGCTGAAATGGGTTGTAGGCCGACTCAGGCCTCATTTCTTTTCCGTTTGCGTTCCGTCTTACAAGGCTCCTTGCAACGCGGATCTTTACATAACGGACGCCGAATGCTTCGGAACCAACCTGGCCCGTATCAAAGATGCCAGGTATTCTTTTATTTCGACTTCACTATTTATTATCGATTTAACAATGAAGGATGAGAAAAAAAATGTATAGGCGATGTCGCTGGAATGCCCTTGTCTGGACAAAAAAAAAATTCTGGCCTCACTGGCCTAAACTACCGCTATATTTTTTAACGGACGGGACCGAAACTTTTTTGGAAAAATTAAATTAGGCGAGTTTCGGGCCGCGTTAATATTTTAGTACGACCAAATTTTAAGATAACCGCGAGAAAATTTTTATGAATCTTATCCGATTCCAAAAAAAAAAATTGACAATATATTATAAATATAACCTCGCGCAGACTTTCCTTTCCTTCCGGACATTCTTCCTCCTCCATGTACGCCCTACTTTTCACGGCTCTCTACCTTCATTTCCGCGCCAAAAAATGCCGATTTCAAGTTTTCAGCGCCTTATTACAAGGTTCGATTCGTATTTCTATCATCTGCATTCCCAAAATCGATTAAAAAATTGTTATTTTATCCTAAAGTTTGGTATCCCTCAATAACCGCTAACAACCCCCCGTATTAAATATTTAACCGGAAGTTATACTTTGGTCAATATCTATGAGAATATTTTGTATATAAATTTTAAATTTGCAAAAGGAACGAACAGATGATCTTAAAGAGAGTCAAATTAATTTTAGGCATTCCAATTTAGAAAAAAAAAATTATGAAAACGATAAAATATGACACAATTATATCATATTTAATTTTTTCTAAATAAAATAATAATCGATAATCAATATAAATTTAAAATATAGGATATTTTATTTGTGATAATATTATTTGTGAAACATTATTGGGAATATTTTAAACACCAGACTAGGTCATCGAAAACTCGAATCGAATAATGAAATATTTGTATTTGATTCTTAAACTTCTGATCGAATAATCTATTACCCGTATTACGAATAACGAATAATCTATTATCCGTATTAACGAAGAATTTTTTTTTTCAGATATGCTATTTAGTTCACCATAAAAATTTTTTTAACTTTTTTAAGTGCTATTCTTTCGGGCAGATGTTTTTCTAAGTATTTCTTTTTTCCTTAGAGGTGGGCATAATTTTTTGTGCAATCATACTTGTGCCCTGTAAAAGCAGACAGACACTTATCAGCTGTAAGAAGAACCCCGTTTCATTTACTTTCCTAGAATTTGTAATTGTTTTATAAAGTTACTATCACGGTAAATAAATAGATACCGGAAGTCTCCAAATGGTTAATACGATACTTAAAATTCGCGATTTTGTAAAAATATTTATAAAAGTAATTTATTATTATTTGATTCGAAATTTTATTTGAAGTTCTTCAATTTCGAAATCTAATACCGAATAATTTTCGAAAGGCATACTACACTATCCGGAGCAAATAAAAATTGTCACAGCTTTATCGGTTTTTTTCGGTCTAGCCAGTTGGCCTTTATTAGTCAAAAAACCCTAACCGGATCGGTTTAGCCCGGAACGTCGGTTCAAAACTTTGACTTTGATTATGCCAGATTTAATATCTCGTTTAATGAATAAACAAAATATTTAATCGATCGTAACAAAAAAGTATATCTAAAAAAAATATATATATTCTCTCCAGATATTTTATACTATTTTTTTCAATCTCATACATTTATATAAAGGCGGTCTAATAATGCTTTCCTTGTGGATCGGAGCGACCCGGATTTCTGACTATAAGCATCATTGGAGCGACGTTCTCACTGGGTTCCTTATAGGTGCCGTCTTCGCCATTTTGTTTGTAAGTTTTAGTAAAAAAAATTTTTTTAAAATGTATTTTTTACATTGTCCTTAACAACTTAAATGATAATAATGCCCGACTACTGAAGGTTTCTTTCATCGAAGTTACCTAACAGCTTTGACTTTTTTTATAGCGGCAGCTATCCATTATTTTATCCTTTCTTGGGGGCATCCATCCCCTATGAAACCATTGAGAATTATGATAATATTCTAAATAAAATTAAACCTTATATTACTACTCAATAATATTGTATTAATCAGGCGAGTTGCGCCATAGCAGGAACCATATACCCCTCGTGGAATAAAAGCAAAATGTTCAACTCGGCTCCCTCATCCCCAAATCAATACGGTAGTAACAATCAACAACCTAACAGATGTTACAATCCTACCAAGGACCCCCTTAATTCTGAGAGCGCCCTCATCGGCAATAATAATATTAGGAATTTTGAGTTTAATAGCAACATTAAACCCCCTAGCTTCATCCCTAATACACCTGTGTGAAAGAGAGGAAGAAAAAAAAACTAACAAATTATTTTTATCCCACCATTCTTAATTTTAACGGAAGTGGATTTAATTCATAAATATTGTAGCCTGCCCACTACCGGATCTTTGGCGACGACGCTATTTATTTATACCATTTCTATAAAGCGATTTTTATAAATAACAAATTTTAGATATTTTTTTAAAAAAAAATTCAATATTCATTTTTTTATATATAAAAAAGGTATATAAAACATTGGCCAAAAATTTTTTTTATACCTATATGTTTTTTTTTATTAAAAGAATTTAATATTTTAACCAACATAGCTTTAGTGGTTAATTTTGCAGCTTTTATATCATTTTTGAATTGTGCAATTATCATAATCATTCATTTGACAATCAATTAAAGTGTAGTATATCATTATTAATTAATTATTTTTGTTATGAAAAGAATGGTTTTTGTAAAAGAAAATATAAATATTTATAAAATATATCAAAGTTTTTCTCATTTACTTTATAAAAATAAACTATTTTTGTATTATATTTGTGTTTTCATTGTAAGATTATGATTATTATTTTTTTAAATAAAAAAAAATGTTTTGTATATCATGTATGATATTTGTTTAGATTTTATAGAAGAGAGTGCTGTTAGAAAAATGACTTAAAATATTAGGAATGGCAAAAATATGTTTTTATTTAAGAATAAAAAATAAGACCAGACTTGGGAAGAAAATAACTTTAAATAAATTTATTATAATCAAAACACGCAGTCATTTTTGTTACTAAATTATCACTTTCTCAGCGGAATTTATGTTTAAACTATTGTTAAGTAGCTAACAATATAAGAATATCATTATCTGCTACCAATATTTGCCGATTTATAAAAATTTTAATTCATATCTAAAGTATATAATTTATAATTAAATTAGATTATTTTGGAATTAATATATTTCTGTATTGAGTTAATGTTTATAAACTGCCCTGAATTTATTTAAGTATCAAAAAAAATGTTAAATCAACATTAAAAAGTAGGAATATACTTAAATATTATTAGATATCAAAAATGATTTTTATATTTTTGAATGCTCTTAAATAATCTTCCAATCTTATAACTAAAATATTTCTTCAAAGTTGATTTGTGCATTCACAAATCTGGTACTAACCTTATTACCTCTATAAAAACCCAGTTATGATATACGACCTATCGTATGCTAAGTACATATCAATTAGGATTCGGAATTAAGAGTGGATGCGAAATAGTCTCACATGACATCCGTATATAGTATATCCATAATCCTCCTAACTTTGCTATAATTAAGCTAGATTTAAAATGACTTCAATAGTATATTTCGTTAACATTTCTTAAATTGCTATTAATTTCCTGATTATTCAAAATTCCTAGAAATGTACCATGGTATATACAGCTCACATGTTATATAGTCTCCGCCGAAAACATTCAACAAGGGTATCCACTAGTTCGCTTTAAACCTAAATATCTGGTAATCTTGAGGATGTAACTATCTGTGGTCTTCGACCTAAAATATAAGTTTTAATTTTCTGCCAGGTCTAAAAATTTAGGATTAATTAATTTGATTCTCTGATAACAATCTACCAGAAATTGTCGACCTCAATCAAAAATACCAGTCCATCAGAACCCTTATTTAAAAATTACAAATAATTTTAAAATGCTTATATATTCCTAAAATATTGCATCTTTTTACCTCATCGTTTTAATTTATATTAAAATATTTTTATAAAAAATTTTAAACCTAAATTTATCTATGGTAATGATATGTGACGTTACTACACTTGCAAAAGAACACACAAAATTTATTAAAAATTCCTTCAAACCCATTATTTTTTATTATATATAAGGGATCAGATGATGATCCGATCTTCTATATATCATCTCCTCAAGAACGGAAGTCTACCTGTCTTTAGAAATGAGGATGATCCTTGCTGGATTCGAACCCAAAACTATCAGATTGTGTTACACTCACTGCGACTTGGTCATAGGCGCTACTCGAAAGTATCGAATTAAAGATAAAATCAACGATTTCTAATATTTTTAATAAAACGCATAAAAAATCAATAACGTTCATTCAACGCTATATATATATCATTACCCATTTATCCACGCATAACCGAAAATTAGCCCAATTACCTGGAAAAAATGTAGTGAGGGATTTTTCTCTCGAAACAGATTTTCCTACAATAGTCCCGTAATATCGAAATCTCTTAATTTATCTTCTTAATCTCCAATTCTTCAAAACGAATATAAAATCGGTTGTGAACAATAGTTGGACCAGCCGAGTGAAAACTTGGGGAATCTATTAACCATCGGAGTAACCTTAGGTTAAGGACTAGGGTGCGACCTCGTTTAACCTCACATTTGCATGAATTGTAACTTCTTAGTAAGCATTAAGGGAAAACATAACATAGACTAAACTGCCCCAAAAGCCAAGATCGGCAGAAAGGAAACGGCCCTTTCAAATCAAACGTCTTTTAAAAACTCGGACTTGCGATCTGTCAACTTATAATGGCTAAAGACATTACGATTTGGCAACTATCCTCTAGGGCCATGGGTATTGCTTAACCATCTCAACTAATATTAAGAGAAGCATGCTTGCCATAGCAGAGACCAAAAAAATTAATAAATATAAAAAGCTTTGAGAATTTTATATTCTCCTCAATTGCAACTTCTATCAATGGATTGTTTGCACCTAACATGTTCGTTTTTTAAAAAAAAAAATTTATCTCATAAAATAAATATAATTTGATTATTGTTCCTTTTTAGGAACACAATCATTCTTTTTTTTAAATTATGTTATATTTAATTAAACACAAATTTATAGGAGTTTATTATACCAATAAATTTCAGGATTAACACAAATAAAATTAGATTGAAGTTATGCGAAAAGCATTTCGACGAAATGTCATTCAATGGCGTCTGATACATCTGACTAGTTTTGCATTTTACATGTGATTACAAAAAATAAATTGATGCCATTGGACAAGCTCTAGACATAAAAAAAAAATAATAATTACTATCATCTATCCCCATTTGCTATTTCATTTTTTTTTTCTCCAAAATTGCAGAACTCCGAAACATTCAAACTTATAAAGTAAATTAGCTTAAAGAAAAACCACTACATGAATGAAATGTATTCCTAATAATCACAAATTTATTAGATATAATATTGTGTTGCGCGGTATTTAATTTTAGTTCCACAACGTCAAAAAAAAAATTATTTTAATATTTATAAATAAATGATGGGACAAATGCATTAATGTCACAATACTTAATTTTAAAAAAAATAATATATATATATATAAATGATTATAATGTTTAATTTGGTATATCATATATTAATTTATATTTTTTTTTAAACTATAATCACAACAAAAAAATAAACTAAAATATCATGGATTTATAAATTTAAATAATAAATTCTTCCAATTTTTTTTGAATTATTTATAATATACTATGTATCTAAATTTGTAAAAAAAAAATATATAATTTATTTATATCTATCAAAAAAAAAAATTAATAATATTCATTCATTTTTTTTTCCTTCCCGATCTTAATCGTCGCCATCTTTGTCATACTCTTCGGAATCGCACTAAATATAATTACAAGAGTAAAAAAAAAAATTAGAATAATCAATTCTAAAAAATAATAAACAGAATTTGGAATTGGCTTCACTAGGAAATATTATTTAATATTTTCAAAAGACGCTTCTTGGTTCCTGATGCCAGAAAAAAGTTGAACGTTTTACATATATATATATATAGTATAGCAAAAGTGTTCAGGTTCAGATTCCTGCAAATTTTAAGATGAGTTTCCCTTTCTTAAATTTTACCAAGTGTTAGATAACCAGATCTAGTGTAACAGTATTATTATAATTCTACCCTAATTCAATTTTTAGAAAACGATCATCTTAAATTTATTTTCTCGCATGCCATCATAGAGAACATTCTAGAGCTCTGCGAATTCGGTCTGTCAGAAGCTCAAATAATTACAGAATATTTCTGACCGGGCTCGGGAAACCGGGCTATTATGGTCCGGCTCGTCGAGATTCTGGTTCAACTCCCGATTTTAACCTTATGTCATTTAACTATTGAGTGGTCTAGCTGAGCATGATAACCTGCAAAGATTATAAAATTGTTGACAAAAAGGAAGATGTTTAATGACCTGTTTCTTCAAGTAGCACTCCTATTTTATTCTAAACTATGTTTCTGCAAAATTTTACGTATTTTTATTTTATAAACTTTTTAAGGTTCAACTATTATTTTGTGGAGTCAAAAGTCCATATTTTAACTCTTCATAGAAAAAAAATATATATTTTTTTAAATATATTAACTTGAAAACAAAGTTTACACTAACATCTAAATATTGATTATTCACTAAAAATTAGAATATAATATTGTGTGGCTCCATATGTGTTTTTGTTCAAGCTAACTTAGAAAATGACTCTTAAAGTTTTAAATCCGTACTCTTTGCTAAAATCTATTGACCAAACTGAAAGAAAATTGTCGCCATCTTAATTTTTTTCCTTCCATCTCTTCAAAGAATAAGATCATTATTTCCGTTATAGTTCGTAAAGATACGTTAAATCTGCCATTTCACCTCAAGCTTGTTATAGCAACCTAATCATCAAAAAATTAAATCCCGTGGTTATATTTGTTTGCAAAGAGCTTTAAGAATACATTTTTTTTAAATTTCCTGGTGGAAAAAAATATCGTTTTTCGACATTAAAACGTATAAAAAAAAACATATGATAAACTAACTGAACTATCTCTAAAGTGTGTAAGATACAAAAATAGATAAATTTGTTGTGTACTGAATATATTTTACTGAAAAATGATATGAGGAGCCGAAATAACGATTTAACTAGGCAAATTTTTTCAGGGCCTGTTATCTCATTTTCTTTTCTTCGATATAAGGGAAATCGAGGAACAAGAACTAAAGATGAAAATAATTTAGCGTTGTTAAACTGTTCGTTTTGAGCCGATTTTTTAAAAAACGGGGAAATACAATATTTTATTCCAGAAAACTATTACGCAAGCCTGAAGATTTTGCTCATAAAAGGAACAAAGGTCTAGACATGTATCATCGAAATTTTCGAGGCGCCAACAATATTTTTCTGGCTTAAAATATTGAGTTAGCGAGCTGTTTAAACGACACTATGAAAATTTGACAAAGTTTTACAATAAAATAATATATATCAAGAAAAGGGGGATATTTAATTTAAGTGTTTTTAAAAGAGCGATAACATAGTGTATCGAAAAATATTTATTTTAAATAAAACCATGGCCAGTTGTCTACCGATGTTACCGATGGTGACCGCACCCGAAAAGAATATGCAGGGTAACCAGGAACGAACGTATATGAAATCGGGTTCTGTGTACCTGTATAACATAAAAGGCATAAATTCATTCATTTATTTGGGTGAGGGAGGGAGGGGGAGGGTGTAAATAATTCAAAAAAAAACTATGAATTATTGGTCAAAAGTTCAGTCCTCCATAACATTCGGTCCGTCTGGACATTTTTTTAGGCATGAAAGCCCGCTACCCGGTAAAATTACAAGTATTTCAGCCAATGAAACCATTTTATTAAAATTAGCGGTGATTATCTTGACGCTCGTTATTTACTCGTATATCCCGTTGTACACCAACAGCTGACAGATGAGCGTAGTTATGAAAGCTATCACGAGTCCCAATAAAAAACCGATCCTGGACCTGTCAAAAAGCCACCAAAGTCCTACCGAAAGAGCGGCTAATGTCAGGGAAAATTGCATGTTGTTGGCGAAATCAATTTTCTAAAAAAAATTTTTTTTGACGATTATGGAATAACGCTATATATCAAAGATTTGCTCGATGGCGGGAAGGGAAGGGGGAGAGGAGAGTTATAATATAAATATCCACTAGATAAAAAAAAAGGAAGTTTCAAGAAAAATATTTTTTTTAACGTGAAATCTTTGATTAATTAGGTTTCAAAATTCCAATAATTACCAATTTTTGAATCATAATATTTCATTTTATCGATTATATAAATAATTATTAATTGGACAGATATAGTATTTAAATAATTGGTCAAAGAAAAAATTCAAAATGGAAGCATATTTAAATAGCTAGAAAAAAAAAGAGAAGGCATGAATGAATGAATCTTCCGAATGTCAGTTTTCCTTACTTTAATAAATAATTAATGAGTTTTTTTTTCATTCTAAAATGCAACCATTTATTATGTAAAAAAAAATGACAAACTAATTATTTGATAAAAAATGACCTCGAGTTTTTTTAAATTAAAATCTAACACTTTCTACTTTTATTTTTCATTCTTTCCTTTCGTCGTAATAACATTATATAAATAATTTGTTTAATGTAATGTAATGTAAGTAATACTTAAATTATTGGTGAACAAAAAAAAATATATTTTTCCGATTTTAAGTTCTTTTCTATTCTCTTTCTTTCATTCCTTCTTTCTATTCTTTGAACTAAAATGGCATTCGTGATTTGATCGTAAATAATTTCCTAGAAAACAATGGATAGAAAGATTTGTTTAATTGAAAAATAAATTAAATTTAAATGGGAGTTAAAATTAAAATATAAATCGAACTTACTTAATAATGAAATCGTTTTTAAATGTCGTTTCAAAAAAAAAACAGACGATACAAATCCTCGTTGAAAGAAAATTTTGTAATATATTTTAAAAAATCGTTTGGAAGTATAAATCTAAACTCTAATAATATTTCAAGGGCAGCGGTTGAAAAATGGCTGCTTTATTATGCAATTTCTTTAATACATTATCTTATCCTTTTTTTTGTAAGATTATGCTGAATGATTAGCAATTTCAAAGACTGGTAAATGACTCAAGTATGAAAACCCTATTTTAAGTCTCTTTTTTTGTATCACATTCTATCATTTATTCAATAAAATAGGCGTTTAATAGTTCAAATTATCGTATCAGATCTTTTCAACGAATAATTATTTAAGGTATCGATATAACGCGAAGAGATAATTTCAAGGAAACCTTACCGATAATTAGTAAAGATGAATGCGTTTCAAAGGAAGGCTTGATATGTGATAATAAGGTTAGAAAATTGTTAATGAATAAAGTTGCAGTTATAGGCCTGCCCCCAATCCTTCTAACTATTTGTTTCCGGTTGAAGGTGGTAAACCTTAATTCGGGACTTCCAAAGGATAATAGCTGCATCATTGAAATAATCAGGTCTTTTTCAATACTTTGATCCATTATTTTACTACTTATTTGAGGATAAAAAGTATATTCTTTATTTTAATGCTAGATTTATTATATAAATTCACGTGATTTTTAATCAATCATTAAATTAATGAATATAAACACTGGCAATAAAAAGCAATTTTTTCATGCTATGACTGTAAAAGTATATAGAAGTTATAAATGATAAAAAAAATTCCCCAGGTATAGATTACAAGAATCTCAGTTTGTTGTAATTTTGGTAATATTCAAATTTACTAGATTAAGAAAAACGAAAGTTAGGCAAATTACTTTTAAACAAAATTACGAAGCCAGAAGATATTCAAATCTACATAAGAAAAAAGAAATAAATCTCGATGCAAATTGAGACTATGTAAATGAGGATTAAAGAAAAAGAATATATAATGGAGAAATTATGATGCGAAAAATAATTAATTTTTGAATTTGAATTTTTTACTTTTATATTAATTTTATTTTTCTTTTTTTGTTGTTCACTTTGTATTTGATTATAGTTAATTATTGAATAAAGATTTATTAGCATATTTTAATATTTAAGTATATATATTTTTTTATTTTATTTTTTTAGGTTCTGATTTCCAATGTCAAACATCTCAATTGTGACAAGTTTATATACAGATTTTAATCAAAATTGAAAGAGGTAGGCCGAGAATCATGTTTCTTTGATCAGTTTGACATGGAATAACCTAGAAGAGGAAATTGAATAGTTTCACCTATAAGATTTGATAAAAAAAGAAGGGCATTGACCATCAGAGGCTAGTAGGCAAATATGCAAGAGCTGCACAAATTGTTATTCCGGATTTGAATGCATAAAATATCTCTATGTTTAATTATTATATTCCTTATCATTCTATATTGTATCTTTTTTTAACATATGAATTATTCCAATGATGACAAAACAATAATGTGTCTATATTTAAATAAGTTTTACGGATGAAAAAAATTTTGTTCAAGCAAAAGGGTTAATATTTTTTTCAATTTATGTGATAATTATGTATAATTTAATATTATTTTTTATTATATATATTTGTAATTCTATTGATTTTTATTAAAATACTTATACAAATATGATAAAATATTATTAAATAAAAAAATAGTAAAATATATCAAAGTTTAAAAAAAAATTAATACAAAGCATGAGAAAAATTTATTTAAAAAAAAGAAAATAATTTATTAAAAGAAAAAATTTTTTTTAAAAAACAAAAAATCAGGTGGCCAGGTTGGGTCAGGATGTTTTAAATATTTGGTAGTTAGATCTAATTAAAGAGAAGGCAATTTTCTACTTGAGTTTATAAAATGGAGAAAGGTATGATTTTTTGATTGATTTGGATATTATTTTGTAGAGATTTAATGCCACTTGTCCAAAAGAGCAGGTTGATGTAGCTACTATGGGAACAAAGTGGTTCACACATTAGGTGCGAGTAATTTTGATTTTTTAGAGATTCAGTTAAGGGGATCGTGCAAATTATCAGATAGGGCCATGGGATCAATGCAAGTAAAATCCCTCATTAAAGGCTTTCCCATTAAAAACGGTATGATTGTTGTGCCATCTGGGCGTTTTTTATCTAAAAAAGATGTCAGTTCTAAAATACAAGAAAAATTGGCTTTAGTTCAAAGAGTAGCTATTATTGAATTTATTTTATCATGTTGGCTGATTTTTGATATAAATTTAAGTGGAGAGTGTGTCTCCCATACGCATCTGCCAATTGATAGCATTTAATGCAAGTATATTGGTTTAGGAAAGGAACATCCAGGCCTAAATTGATTGTCTAACGAAACGACTCGTTATCTATTTTTGTTATTTAACCCTGTATTGCATGTACTATGTTAGAATAAAAATTTTTTTGGCAAACTAGATTTTTTATTTCTCTCGATACTATTGATAATCTCATGGCTCACATTTCGTTTCTCCCATTGATTTATTATAAATCTTAACAATATTTGGACATTTTATCATGATTTTTTCTTTTTTTTCCTATCATATCTTTCACAGCTATTAGAGGATGTGCACCTACAAAAGTGCTTAATAAAGTCACAGCACAATTGTTGTGCCACTTCACTGATTTACTTTCCTTATATAGAATTCATACGAAATCAAGAAAATGGTACCATAGAATTTTATTTCATATGTTTGACATGTTACTTATAAATTTATGGTTGCTATATAAACCTGATTGTAATAGTATATCAATAGCACACAAGGATCGATTAAGTTTGTACAATTTCAAAATTTCAGTGGCGGAAGTCCTTTGCAAATATGGCAAATGCACTTCAAACAATATACCAAAACGAAAATTAGTTCAAACTGGTTATCGGGAAAAATGTAAAAAAGGACCAGCCCAATATTTACCACTTGAGGAGGTTAGGAAAGACCTCACGGCTCATTGGCCAAAATATAATGATAAGAAGGGTAGATGTAAAATGCCAGGATGCTTATTTATAACAAAAGTATCTTGCAAAAAATGTGGTGTATATTTATGTTTTACGCCCACAAATAATTGTTTTATAGATTTTCATGAAAATTAAAATGTTTAAACATTTAATATTTGTTGTATTTAAATAAAATTTTATATATTTATAATTTAGAGTACAATAAAAATTATTGTGGAAAAATTGAAATTTGTATCCTTAATTGCATAATGTGTATTTAAATCCACATACCGTTCATCTTCTAAGAAATTTAGAATTTTTTTTAAAAAAGTGAGCCATGAGATTATCAATAGTATCAAGAGAAATAAAAAATCTAGTTTGCCAAAAAAAAAATTATTCTAACATAGTACATGCAATACAGGGTTAAATAACAATAAAAAAATGAGAATGGGCTTGTGAATTATTAGCTAAACGTTTAAATTTCTTTGAATCAAAATCCAGGTTTCATTATTTTATAAAATAACAAAAATTGATGAATAAGTTTTTAATTATAATAAAAGGGAGAAGTGATCTTCAAAATAATACCAATCTTTTGGTTATGGTAAATTGATATATATTTCAAATATAAACATTTTCAATAAAAATTACAAACCCCAACACATAATGTAATTTTGATACAATAATTAATGATGTGAATAATTCAATATTGCATGGATATTGATCTATTGTCTAAACTACCTATCAGTTTACCTTATTTCAATAAATAATACTATCATATTTTAATAATCGTTATATATAAAATTAAATAATAATTATTATATTAATCCTACCACACTAGCATGATTTATTCCAAAAAATACTGCTACACATCTCATTATACTTGACCATTCTCTTGTGTGCATTAATTTTTCGCCAAATATTTCATCAAGAAATGGGTACAACAAACCAACTATGACTATAAAATAAAAAAATATATAGGTTATGCTTATTTTGGATTACCTGCAACAAGCCCACATGAAGGAGGAACCCACCAAACGGTGTAAAGTAAATTTGAATTTGAGCCTTTTGGAAATATAGTGATATTTCTTTGTACTTGAAGAAGATTTAATATTAATGATGTTAGAACACCAATTGTGAATAATATACTAGCCCTTATCAAGCATGAAAATTGCTTATAAAACATTAGTTTTAAAAAGTATGCATGTTTGAATATATATAAAAATAAAACTTGTGCTAAACATTATTCGGTCGATAGATAACTATGGATTAAGATATTTTTTAAATATAATATTATTATTGAATAAAAATGTTAGTTTCATTTTTATTTATTTTCTTTGATTTTTATATTTTATTTTTTTCAAAAACTTCTTTTTATTTTTTTTGATAACGCTGCCTATATTTTTATATTTTATTATTCAAAATTAACTTATATTTCATTCTAATACTCTTCCATTAATATTCAAACAAACTTATGATTTATATTATTTATTTTTATACTTTTTTTATGTTTTAGATTTTTTTAGTTATTATTCAAATATAATGGATTATATAAACGCTATGAATTCTTATAAATTTTAATAAAATAAAGTTATGTTTTTTAACGGATTCTCTCAAAATTTTAAATAATAGCCTGTATAAACTGTATTTCATGAAAGAAAATATGACCTTTCTCTAATGAAATAAATTAATCTTGTAGAAGTGGTTCTTCTCAATTCAGGAAACCATTAGAAAATATTATATATATTCAAAATGCATACTTAGGAATGAAAATATACAACTTACCTGTGTGAAAACAAATGGGGCATATTTTTTTAGAAATTAATGAGATTTTGGAGATATGATTTGCTTCAATTTGGGAAAGAAATAGAAGATATAAGAAAGTATATTAAAGATTTATCAAAATCAAATACAAATCTTTTTCACCAATCTCTTGTGAAAATATGGTCTATTTCTTTAGAAACATAGATTTTAAAGATATGATATTGCTTCCATTTGGGATGCAAATCTGACATAAGAAAAATATATGCATACTTAGGAATAAAAATCTTATACAACTTTCTGTATGCAAACAAAGATGGATTTTTTTAAAAATTAAATTAGATTTTGTAGGTATGTTTTGCTTCAATTTTGGATGCTAAAATAGAAGATATAATAAAATATATTTTAAATTTGAATTCATATTTATCAAATACAAATCTTATACACCTATCTTTGTTAAAATAAGGTTTATTTCTAACATATTTTTTGGTAATGTGATTCTGCTTTCATTTGTGATGTAAAACCGACATAAGAAAAATAATGAATATATATTTAGACATTAATATAAAGTAAAACATATAGCTATAACATTTAATTCTTTTTTAATTCATATAGGTGAAGACTTCATATTTATACCAGACTAGTTCCAGAAAAATTATGTACCATGATTGAGATAGTAAAATATTTGAAAATACAAGAATGGCTAAAAATCGCCACAGTATTATAACTTTATTTTACACTATTATGTATAATTATAATATATTTCATATTTTGCTTTTTCATAAATTTCTCGGTCTAGATACATGTAGTTATTAATATTTAACATAGAATATATCTATAGTACTCGAATATGTTAAACACTAATATAATCTAATATATATAATAGCCCTAATCAAGAAATGAACGTTTTCGTTTAACCTTAATGTTAATTTGTATTTTTAATATCAACTTTCCTATCATCTTAATAATGTTATTTTATTTTTGGCACTTTCCTATCATCTTAATGTAAATAAATCGAAGGAGACTATATATCTCAACGTTAAATTATTATTTTTTTTAAAAAGTGAACTTATAAAAAAATTTTTTTATTACATCAACAAGATTCGAACCACTGATTTAACGATGGATAAACAAACCAGGGATGAGAACCCTCCTTCTAAAAAAATGGATTCGCACTGAACCCAAAGGCTCAGGTTTAGGTGGGTTCAGGGTTCGGAGATAAGAAAAATAATGATTTATTAAACATCATTTTTTTAAAAAAATTTATTTTAATTAGTATCACCCAGAGTTGGGCAGTACCGCGAATACTTGTATCTAAGATACAAGATCCTTTTGTATCTTGTACTCAGTATCTTTTTGACATTTTTAATAAGATACTAGTATCTGTATCTAAGATCCTTTATTTTAAAAAAGAATCTTGTATCTTTTTCATTTTCATTTTCTTGACAAAAGATACAGATACAGATTCTTTTTAATATTCATGTTTAAAACATTTACATATCACAGAATATAACTTTATTTTCTTCGTGGAATCATGTATTATTTTCCTTATTTTTTTCCCGCTTATTTTAAATATATCGATAACCAAAATTAGCTGGAAATTTTACAGTTCACAAAGATAGAAATATTAAAAATAACAACACCAAAATTAGATAAGTAAAGAATATATATTTTATATGTAATATTTTTTAATTTGTAGAATGATTAACAATAACAATCATGAAGAAGTTAGTGAAGATGAAATTATGGAAATAGGTTCTCCTGAATCAAATCCGAATCTTAAAATTCTAGATGGAAAATTTTTTAAAGTTATTCTAGTGGAAAAGGACAAGGTTCAAGCTGAATGCCAAATTTGCCCAAGTAAAAAATTTTTAAAAGGCTCAACAAATTCCTCAACAAATTTTGTTAAGCACATTAAGGTAGGTATATTTTTTATTATATATAATTATTGACATAATAATACCTCCTTAAGTCCCTCTTAGATAATTGTTATTTAAAGGATTTTTATAGAAGATGTTGATTATCAAATTAAAATAATTTTGGATATATATTTTATTTATATAATTATTTTAGCAAGTTCTCTTATTATAGAAAATATATAAGCAACAATTGATGTATAAGATGAGATAATTTTCTTGCAAAATCATTACTTATATATATAAAATATGTAAAATGGTGTACATTTATATTACTCATAACTTTTTCTTTTATACATTTTATATTGATTAAATTTTGTAAATAAATACTGTAAAATAATTGTACTTATATTTTAAATAAATAAAAGTAACTAATAAAGTTAAATTCTACCATAAAGTTCTCTTATTATAAATATATAAGCAACAATTGATGTATAAGATGAGATAATTTTCTTGCAAAATCATTACTTATATATATAAAATATGTAAAATGGTGTACATTTATATTACTCATAACAATTTTTCTTTTATACATTTTATATTGATTAAATTTTGTAAATAAATACTGTAATATAATTGTACTTATATTTTAAATAAATAAAAGTAACTAATAAAGTTAAATTCTACCATAAAGTTCTCTTATTATAGGAAATATTTAAGCAACAATTGATATATAACATTAGATAATTTTAAATGGCTCTTAATAAAATAATTATAATAAAGTAGTAATGATTTTGCAAGATATATTTTTAAAAAATCTGGAAGAGATTCAAATGATATTTATAAAATGATAAATTAACTAAATATGATATTACAAACACAGAATAATATGTTAGAAAATAAAACTAATTTAAAAAATACATAAATATCATAATTCACAAACAAGTAATGAAAAATACTTATTAAAGATAATGAATAAAATAAAACTAAACTAGTACATATATTTTTTTTATTAGAGATGCCATTTAGGCATATATGCTGAATACAAGCTATATTTAAAACAGCACAGAAAAAACCAGCAAATTCTAATATCAAAAAAAATGATTCAACCTAATATATCACAATCCTTTAATGCAATTAATAAAATAAAACCTACAATTACCCAAAATAAAATTGTTAAATTGTTGAGCCTAGTTGACAGCGTCTACATGACAGGATTTTTACTGGATGCTAACCCCCTTCAAAAACCTATGCCTACCCCCCTAAAAATTCTCGACGCCTTTGGCGGCGGTGTCTCTCTATTATTATTTTCACCTTTTTAATTTATTGATACTCTTTTCAGAAAATTAATAAAGGATAACTTAAATTAATCTATCTTTACTACCAACTATCGATATTTTGTGAACATAAAGAATTTATTTTTTAGATAATAAATTCAATTAAAACATCCATTATTTGCAATGAATTAATTATTAAGCATTATGAGCTTGCTGAAATATCTAAACCTTTTAAATTACATTATAAAGAATAGCAGAAAGTTTTATTTGGAAAACAATGTGTATGATTGTTTGTAATATATAGATTTGGTCGATGAATTGTATTATAATAATTCTATAATAAAAGTATTAATTTTTACAGAAAAATAGATAACCCCCTAAGAATTTATCATACCCCCATTAAAGCAGCCTACCCCTTCAAAAAACTAGGATGCAAACTGTTTCTACCCCTCCCGCTCATGTAGACGCTGCTAGTTGAACAGCCTGAATTTGTTACAATGATGGAAGGTTAGATAATTTATATATAGATAAATATTGATATGTTACTCTAGATATTCTTAGTAACATTGGATCATTTAAAAATTTTTCGAGGAGGTCTTTGCAGAGAAGAATAGAGGAAATTTTTGAAAATCATGTACATACTTTAAAAAGTACTTTAAAAGCTCAATCATATATATGCACCACGGCAGATTTGTGGTCTACAAAAACCCATAGTTTTATGGGAATAACAGCTCACTGGGTAATATTAATATCTTATTTAATTTTTTCAAATAAATTATTTTTAAAGATAACACGAGAAACCCTTGAAATGCAATCAAGAGCCTTGGCATGTAGAAGAATGCCCGGCACCCATTCATTTGATAAAATTGCTGAGTTATTGGAAGAAGTCTATAGAGAGTATGGAATTTCTGATAAACTAATTGCTACCGTCACAGATAATGCATCCAATTTTGTCAAGTCATTTAATGAATATGGTGTGAAATTAAATGTTCTTGACAATGATTTTGAGGATGATCTATTAGAGTTTAATGAAATCAATGATGGTTAGTACAAATTTTTTAAAATATTTTAAAAATCTTTATCTTTAGATGATATAAACAAAATAATATTACCCAGGCACATCAGGTGTGCCTGCCACACTTTGTCCTTAATAGCAACTAAAGATATTATTTCATCAATATCGAGCGCAAAGAATCTTGGAAGGATTCATTATGGAGTAATGGGGAAATGTACAAAATTATGGAATGCATGTGGAAGGCCCAAATCTTCTGAAAAGATAAGGGAGATAACAGGTGGTTATCAGCTAAAGGTTCCATGCGTAACGAGGTGGAACAGTTTGTATGATAGTATCACTTCATTACTAAAATATAGATCAAATTTAAAATTATTATTTGAATCAATTGATTGTCCTATTTTAAAAGAAATAGATATTGTATATATGGAAGAATATTGTAAAGTTTTAGGCCCAGTAGCAATTGCATTAGACAAACTACAAGGGCAGAGTAGTACATTTTATGGGGAATTAGTGCCCATATTATTTGTAATTAAAAGGGACTTGGGTAAACTTGAACATTCAAGTTTACAATATTGTCTCCCTTTATTAAAAGCTGTTCAAAATGCTATGGAGAAAAGATTTGGAAAATTTTTTTCTTATGATAATAAATATAATGAGGCCTTTTTGGCATCATTATCACATCCATATTTTAAGAATCTATGGATTGAATCTGATGATAAAAAAAAATATTTTCAAAAGATATTACTAAACGAAGCATTAGAGCTATCACAAATAGTATACCATCAAGCTCAGGATGTATCACCAATAGATATAATATCTAATAAAGAAAATGATGATTATTTTTCTTTTAGTGATACAAACGTTGTTGAATTCAATAATACAAACAACGTTGAGCTTGAGGTTTTACATTATATTAAAGACCGGCGAAAAACACTCGAAATGCTTAAATTTTATACTTTAATTAAGGAAATTTTTTTAAAATATAATACAGCCATACCCTCATCAGCTCCTGTTGAGAGGTTATTTAGTTTTGGCACAATGTTAAATACGCCAAAACGACAAAGACTTAATGATAAATTATTTGAAAAATTGATTAATTTAAAAAATAATTTGATTTAATTTTTTTATTTATTTGCAAATTTTCAACTCCCATTAAATATATTACTCTCCCTTCCGTGTTTATGTTATTAATGGGCAAAAACTAATATTAAAATGCCTATTATTATATTATAATAATTAACTCATTGATAAATATTTTATTAATTATTGTAAATATTCATTCTTATATGCGTGTGTTATGTTTTTCACAAATAAATAATAAGAACTCTATTTATAAATTATTCTAATTTAATTGGTAATGAAAATTTAGAAGTATCTTGTATTTAAGATACTCTAATTCTAGCAAAAGATACAAGTATCTTTTATATTGTATCTTTTTGATATTTTAAAAAAGATACTAGTATCTTTATCTAAGATTCATTTTTTTATAAAGAATCTGTATCTGAGATTCTTTTTCCGGAGGGCCTGCCCAACTCTGGTATCACCATATAAATAATTTTTCATCATAATTATAATACTACAATACAATTTTAAAATCTACTAAATATAACAAAAATAATTACACAAAAAAATGAACAAAAATTTTTTTTAAAATTAATATATAAATTTTTATAATTAAAAAAAAAGCTTGAACTCTGTCCCTAAATTTTAAAAAAGGGTTTGGGTTCAGCTAAACATTGAGGGTTTCGGAGGATTCAGGGTTCGGGTTCTCGTCCCTGAGACAAACATTCTTCCAGTCACCCCCCTTCTATATTAAATTTTGTGATATAATTCTTCTTATATATGAAACTATATTATAATAAAGTAATTTAAATATATCAATATTTAACTTTTTTATTGGAAGCTCCAGGCATGGAAAAACAATTTCAAAATTATTTTCTGTTGGCCAGGTAATTTTTTTAAAAATTATAATGGGTCTGGGCTTGGAAAATAATTTTATAATATTTTTTTTATTGAAAGTTGAAAAAAATTTCAAAATTATTATCGGTTGGCCAGGCTTAAGAAAATTTTTTATAATAGGTTCGGGCTGGACTTGGAAATTTTTTTTATAAATTATATTTAGCTAGGTGGGGAAAATTTTTCAAACTATTACTTTTATGTTGTGCCCTCTAGAATACTGCACAATTTCAGAATATTTCTAGAATATATTTTTTTATTCAAATGCCTACAATCGAAAAACAAAACGAATTAAATTTTATAGTCACAAAAAAAAATTTTTTTTAATAAAAGAGAAAAAGAAAATAATTAATTTAAAAAAATGAATTGAAATATTACAATTTTGTTTCCTTTTATAGGGAAGCAAATAATAATTTAAAAAAATAATTATAAATTAACAAGTTAAAAATACATTTTTTTTAAATTACAAACCACCTAATCATGCCGAAAACAAATTATATTTAAAAATACATTTTTTAAAAATTATAATAATCATAATATAATGACTTTACAATATTCAACTTTTATAAATCTAAAAATAAAAGGTTAACGCGTAAACTAAAACACAAAATTATAAAAATAAAAATGACTCACCAAACGCAATACATAATGACTATATCAAAAATCAAATTTTACAAATCAAAATCCCAATTATGATAATTATTAGCTTGGATGCTTGGGAATATTTTTATTATTAACTATGGATCAGACATTGACCGTAAAACAAATAAACCAAGGCCCATAAAATCTGATTTTGACTGTATTTTAAAATTCATTAGGATTTTTTTAAATATTTTATTCCATTTCTTAACTACCAAAATTATTATGATCTTTGTTTGGGGTGTGAGAAATTTTTTCAAAATTATTATGGCCTTAGGCCTTACTTGGGAATTTTTTTAATATTAAATAATAGGCATACATGATCAGTAATATTTTAACAAATAATATTGATATAGGTATCAAGTAAATCTTTAAAAATATTATGACTCAATACATAGCATATAAACTTAGTTTTAATGGATTGGACCTGATCTGAAGGTGGGAGGGGTTATAAAGAATAAAAATTGGATATTATTTTCAAATAACAGGTAACAACTATCCTAAGAGTAAATAGAAAATTTTCATTCCCCGTCATTTTTAAGGACTCAGCAAAGATGACTAACGGGAGCTCTTGCACTCTTAGTTAAATATTTTTCATTTTGCCCTTCAAGAAAGACGGGTTATCATACTTTTCTCCCTTATTCGATATTAGATGAATCAGAAATTAAAAATATCTTATGAGGTGTGATTCACAAATTTACCTCTTTTTCGCCTAAATTTTAATATTTTTATAAAATATATTAATAAAGTATATTTAATACCATATACAAAAACTAATTCCTCCTCAACTAGGATATTCTTGTGGTATTATTAACTTTTATATAATACACTCTAAAATTAATATATAGTTTAAATATAATTATTAAATCCGAGAAATTTTAATTGAATTGTTGCGATCTACAAATGAGTTTCTGTTCAAAATAGCTCAAAAAAGGCCAAATATTCGGAGCATATTAAAATGGAAACAAAACTTAAGCTACCTTCAGATAAATTAAGTAAGCTACAGGAGTCCGTTAGGATTGGTGGGAAGGTAATATAAAGAGATATTAATATGATTTATTTAAATGAAAGGGTACAGCGCGTAGAAAAAAGAAAGTTATTCATAGGACTGCCCTCACAGATGATAAGAAACTTCAAACATCTTTAAAAAAATTAGCCGTTAATACTATTCCTGGAATTGAGGAGGTTGAGTTCTTTTTCAATTTATTTTATTTGTATATTATCAGGTCAACATGATAAAAAATGATGGTACAGTCATTCATTTTAATAACCCAAAAGTACAAGCATCTCTGGCTTCCAATACATTTGCAATAACTGGGCATGGGGAGACAAAAAGTGATTTTAATTATATGTAGTCTTTATTATATTTAATTTTAGATTTCACTGAGCTTATGCCAAATATTTTGAGTCATATTGGTACTGGTTTTCTTCTACCTTTAAATGAGCAAAAACAGAAATCTCAAAATAATGAAAAAGGGGATAGTTCAGATAAACGTAATTATTCTAAATAGTATTTTTCCATATTATAATTTAGCAACCAAAAAGATTGAATCAACTGGTGCTGAGGAAATTCCAGGTAATTTTTTGTTATTTTAGTTTAATCTTATTTATAAATTTAGATCTACTTGAAAATTTTGATACATATCTTAAAAAGGAAGTCACACAAACCTAAATATTATTATAAATTAATTGTGTTACAAAATCATGCTCTTTATACCCTTATAGATATTTTGAATATTATATACATTTACTACAAATATTTGATTTTGTATGATACAAAAATGGCTTTGTAAAATAAAAACTTTACCAAATCATATAATAATTCTTAAGGAAATACCAAACATGGTAAAATATTAAAATTAACTTTTGAAAAGTAACTAATTAATGTTCTATTTAAAAAATAACAACTAATCAAATATTTTATTGGGTGGGTTATGCATATTTTTTTATTACTATGTTTACACATAGTTGGCTCAATCTTCAGGTGCCTGCTTGAAAAATCCTTTATTATTAAGGTGCTTTAATTTATATTAGTATCATTCAAATTTGAGATACTCTCTTTTTTAAGATAAACTCCGAGGTCAATATCATAATCTTAGCTGGCTAAAAATATGGTAATTACCAAATATTTAGTAGCTGTAATACCCTTTATTGAGGTTGAGGAATGATGCAATCTCAATTATAATTGTGTGTGGGTTTAGGTTGTATGAATCAATACATTTGTGTCCATTTAGACTGCCCCCTCCCATCTTTTTATGAAAAAAGGAAATATATTTCTTATTGAATAATATTTACTCATTATTTAATCAAATTATTTATAAGTATTTTTCTTTATTTCTACATCTATACATGACTTTTAAATTAAATCGAAAAAGAAATGTTAATATTTATCGAATAAGAATATTTGATTCATGGTACATAGTTCTAGAAAAACAGCTGAACCATGGGCTTTAGATATTTATATTAGTGATTTGCATTGGGCCTAATTTTTAAAACCTGGCCCAGCCCAAAAATTTTTTTAAAAAAATTTACTGGCCCGGCCCGAATTTATTTAAACATAAATTAATTTTTATAATTACTCAAAATAAAAGATATATGTTATATGTCGTTTAGTTTCAATATATAAAATCAAATATTTTTATTTTACATAAAAAATTCAATATAAAATTGAAAAATTTAGATATACTTACAAAAAATTCCAAGGTCTGACCTGACCCAACTCGAATTTTTTAAAAAATATTAGGCCCAGCCCGAACCCGATTATTTTAAATAGAATTAGGCCCGAGCATGGCTCAAAGCCCGTTTGGGCTGGGTGGGCTGGGCCTAACTTTGCAGATCTCTAATTTATATACATGTTAACATCAATATGTTACTTTTTCAAATTTAACCCATTTTTATCATGTTATTTTTTCAATTAAGGGCATTTTTCTCTCCAAAGAAATCAAGTCTAGACCTACTTTTTCTTCCTCTCTTACACCATATTTCATCTTTATTTTTTATTAATTTTGGAGATGTTTTTTTAAACATAAATATTTATAATCGAAATTTGTCTTATCATAATTTTTTAATATTGTGTCAGCCTAGAATTGGAGTGGCTCCACTTGCGCAAATGTTTAAAATGAGAAAATCAACATTAAACTTTAAAATTCAATATAAGAAAACCTTATTGAATCAATGTTGACAAAGCTATAACTTTGTCAAAATTTAATATTTTTTAATCTAGTTTTTATTTATATATATTTTGGGGAATAGATAAGTTATTATCCACTTCAAACTCAAAAATTTTTGTATGAGCAGAGCACTCCAATTCTAGACCTAAGATTGAAACAAAAAATAATGACAAAAGATAGTTGCCTGTTTTAAAAACCTACTCTGTAATTTTTTAAAATAAAAATTCATGAACAATAAATTTATATATATATATATAAATTATATATGATTCAAGAATTAATGACAAAATTGTCTAAAATTAAAAGGGTAGATATTTTAAACCAGCTGGAATACATTTCCAAAATCAGATTATAAAAAATCTTGCCCAATATATTAATTTAAAGTTTTAAGGAAAAACACATTGACACTATAAAAATATATTTGAAAATGTGTTAAATACACATGATAGCAGTTCAATTACTTAAATCTATCAATATTTTCAAAAAAATTAGAGGGATCATACTTAGATTTAGACCTAACACCTATAAAACATTTTTTTTAAACTATGCCCTTAGGAGCATTGAGCCCCCTGTAACTTTTTAAAAATATATGAAAACGAATCTCACTCATCTTCAGGTCATGTAAACACTACAACTTATAAAAGAACTGAAAATAACATTAAGGATTAATTGATACACATATGTTTCTAGTTTTAAGTGACAAGTATGCTACAGTATCGGACATAATTATAACAAAAGATTTACAAATCAATTAATACCACAGGATATTAGACATTTAATTGACATTTCACACAGTGTTAATGCATCAAGTAATATTTTTTAAATATGTGACTTTAACAAATTTTTACTTTAATCCACCAATATTATATGAAAAGGCATGTATACAAACAAAAAATGTTATATTTAGGAACATTGTTTTTTATAGGTATTTTATTACTAAAATCTCACTATTTTTTAAAAAAATTAGATCTTTTATTTATCTGCACATTTTTCGTGGTCACATAGATTTCACTGCTACTCCTAAAAATTTTTTTTTATTATTCCATATCCATAGGCGTCTTCTGTTTAACCTGCGGTACCCCTGAAAAATATATGAAGGCAAATCTCTCAGGTCATTTAAATATTACAATCGTAAAAAGAAATAAATAATTATTGATAAAAAAATACTTTTATCAATAGTGTTTAGAGAGATAAGTATAGTGATAGCATGTCAGATGGAAATATTCTAATCGTAACAATTTACCACAGTGTAATATTAGGTTTACTTTATCTAAGCTATAAAATCGAAGTGTTTTATGCTGCATTAGGCTTTTTGGCTATGGAACTCGGTAATTATTAGATATATGAGCTTCCTATTTTATGCAAGGTTGCATGCATTTTATTTTATGTAAGAGAACCCTTTATCTTTTTAATTAATAGAAATTACACAATTTATAAATCATGTTTCTGGTTGCATGTTGTTGAAGATTGTGCCATAATATTTTTTTTATCTTTAGAGATGTCAGAAGAGAATTACACGGAGGTTTTTATGCTTAAAACTTTCTAAAATAAATTTTTATTATTTTTGTCCATCTAAAAATATTTTAACAAAATAAAATTCTAATTTAACCTTTTTTTTATGAGCATCCTACAATGACAAATCTTGCCTTTAAGTACATTTACTAAGTTTTAAAAAAATATATTTATAACCCAGTCTGTTGACCATCTTTAGTAGATCTTATGAATTATTTCTATTGTAATTTTTTTTATATAAGCATATAATTAGGATAAGGATAACTTAAACACACGAAAATTACTGTAGAATTTGTGTAAAGGAAAAAGATTGAAAGATTCATCGAAGTAACTACAAGTGGGAAGAGGAAGGATCAGGAATTCCCAATATATAAAATATTTTTTTAATTTTCAAGTTAAGAATATCGATACTGATTGTGATAACCTATAATTAATTTGTAATTATATTCTTCAAAACACAAAATTTCTCGATTAAAAAAAATGAAGTAATAATAATCAGTTCTCTCGAGATTATAATGCATCTCATAATAGTATTCGCCCTTTAAAACAGCATCTTTTTTTGATAACCCAGAATACTATGTTAATATATTTTAAATTAAGTTTAATGTTTTGTGTTCAAGCCTCCATTGATTAACTAATGAAATGACCACTTTAATTTCTAGTGTTGTTAAATCACCTAACTTTGACCAATTCCAAAATGATTCTGTCAAGTTTTTATCCTAAAGATTTAGTTTCCAATATCTAAGTTAAGGTTCAACTTAGAGGTTTCAGCCTAATTTTTAGGCTAAAAGCTTGGCTAGGCTTTATTGGTATTGGCTAAGGTTAGGCGACATAACAAATGTACTAATTTCCCACCGGAAATTGCTTAGTTAATTGATATTAAACACCATTTATAGTGATTAACATTTTCCACCGTTCGAACTCCGGATATTTCTTACTACGATAGGCAAATCATGGGAAAGATTCCATTTTAGGCACGTATTTTTCTAATGGAACATTTTTTTTTGTTGAATCGCGTTGTATACGGTTTTGTTTTCATTAGATTTTGCTTTAGAAATAAAGTTTATCAAAAAAAATGGCGGAAATTAAAATTTATGAAAATTCCGGTAAGCCTTAAACTTTGTAGTGATATTTAATATATGAAAATTATTCTATTTTTCTAATGAATAAGTAAGAAAATAATTTTTGAAAAGTATCGAAAGATCGATCATCTGTTTAAAGGATCGACGATCCAAACAATTTGCCAAAATCTGGATGGTAGATTTTTTTCGTCTTCCTTTAACAACTCTATTATATTATTATTTTAACTCGATGTTATAACTTAAAATACACTAATAGTTTACATGTCTAACATTAACAACTATATATTAAAAAGTATAGGTCACAAATAAATTTTTTTTAATTTGAGCAAATTTTTAAGTTTGAAATTCAGATTGGTAAATTTCTAAGTTTTACCAAAATGTTCATCTAACATATTGGAATTATTCTAAGAACTTTAAAATATAATTCTTTAGAATCGAATTTTTATTTTGATTAATAAATTAATATTCCCTATAAAAAAAACATGTAAGCATAAAATACTTTTCAATTTTACTATTTTTTTTAATAGTATTATATTACCTTTTTACACAAACCCTCCCCCCCCCCTCCACCCTATATTAACAAGATCCTTAAACTTTATAAAGTTAATCATATATAATTCATATAACTTGAAATAATTTTAAAAATCTTCTGAACTTATCACTTCTGCTAGATTGATTAGAATGATCTTTATCTTAGAGGACATTTAAATACTCCATTTAAAGTTCGGCGTTTTTCATTAATCGCCTGTAACGATCGCTAAGCCCGACTTGAATCCGTTAATCTCGCCATATATGATAAGCGATCGTCTAAGGCCTCCTTTATACTAAACGTGTTATCTTCGAGCGTTGCGTTATAACAGAATAAATCCACTAAAATAGGTATAATTTTATAAATACGGAGTGCTATGATGATAAACGCTATAATAATATTTGAAAAACATATGTTGCGATGCGTTGATAAAAACATATGCGATACGATTATAAAAATAATAGCTAATCTCTATTCTGGCTTTATTATTAAATTA